GCTTGGGCCTCCTTGTGGCTTCTTCCCTTGTTGGTAATTGTAGGGCTTGTCCGCGGGCACTGGCTTCTCCTTTGTAGAGGTTGATTGTTAATCTCCCCCGCTCAAACTCATGGTACGTGGGCTGGATGGTTTTGGCGCATCTTCCTTAGGTGTTCTCAGATCAACAAGCTGCTCAGCTACGGCCATGGCGGTGGCGAGGTCCTCAACCCCGCGTCGCTGGAGTTCAAGCTCAGCCCATGGCTTGAGATCGTCCATGAAATTGAACAGGAGATCCTTGTCCGACATGTCAGAGATCTCCAGCGTCAAGGCCGAAAACTCCTTGACATAGTCATGTAGTGATTCTTGATGTCTGAGATTCTTCATTCTTCGGCACGCCATGTACTCCACATTTTCTGGGTAGAACTGCCGCTTGGTCTCACGCTTGAATCCAACCCAGGTGTCGATGGTGCGGGTTCCATGTTCAATGTCTTGGCAACACCTACGCCACCATAACATTGCGATATCAGTGAAATACATAGCAGTTGTACGTACCTGAGTTTGGTTGTCAATGATGTCAATGGCAGAGAAATATTGCTCCAATTGCCATAAGAAGTTGTCAAGCTCCCTAGCATCCTGAGCACCCGAGTAAGGTGTTGGCTCTTGGATCTTGATGTTCATGGAAGCTAGGGTGGAGGGAGTGCTTGGTGTGTTGGCCACTGCCCTCTTTAGGAGAGTCATCTCATCTCTCATCTCATCCAATTGCACTTGAAATCTGTCTAGCAAGCCCTGTAGGCTGCTTTGGGAAGGCCCAGCTCCCGAATTCTGTATGGTGGTGTGCATGTCTCTGAAGGCGCCATTGAAACGTCATTCTAGTTCCACCACTGCATTTTCAACCGTCTCTAGGTTGAGGTGGAGTTCATCAACCCGATCTCGGGTTTCTCCTACTGTCACCTCGCAACGTAGGAGGTGCATGTCCACGCTAGCTAGTTGGTCGACTGGTTTGTCGTGCTTGCTAGCTTTAGTTGTGCGGCCCTTTGGGGCTTGTGTCTTGGTAGGTTCGTCAAGTGGAGCTTCATCAGTGTCGTGGGCTTGGAGCCGCCCATGTGGTGTGTCATCGGCAATGCCACGGTTGCTCTTCATTGTGTTGATGTAGGGACAAAGACAAGGTCCAGAGTGTGTAGGACCTCTTGCTCCGATACCAACTGTCACGAGTGAAAGAATGGTAAGATCCATCGTATGGACGCCAAAAGGGTTGCGGAATGGGTGGGCAAATTTCAAAAATTTCCTACCTTCTTCCAACTGGGAATCATATTCCCTAAATTTAGAATACAATATTCAAGGATCCTACTTGAACCATAATCGAACCAGATCTGAACCAAAAGACAAGGGAGGAATTATACCTGATCCAGAGAAGCAGTATCTCCCAAAGTTGGTGTTCACGCCGAAAGAGGACACCAAGATCCGCTCCTGCTGAAGATGACACAGCAATATGTGGAACGGAACCAACAGAGTGCGTCCTACACACTGAATCCTTCAAAAGAATCCTTTGGAAACACTAAGCACCGAACCTTTTCAGTTCTTTGATATCAAGAACTGATTTCTTGATTTCTTTTCTTCAAAGATCAAATCTTTTCTGAGAATGGCGGCGGCTGGAGGAGAATTCCTGAGATGAAGATGGCGAAGAATGCTTCTCTTCTCTCTGGAATGTGTATGAGATCCTATCTCAATTCACAGGATGATTTCTTGCTCAAAAACCCTAGGTTCGAATTCTGTTGTCTCTCACTTAGGGTTTCTCCTCCTTTTCTTCTTGATTAAGAAATCTCCTAATTAGGAGTTATCCCAATCCAAATCAGCATCTGGATAGGGGATGATCTTATTCCTATCTGCAGATTAGGTTAGATAACTCCTGATCTTATCAGGAGATTACCATATTCAAATCTGATTTGAATTTGGTCTCC